ATAAAAACGTGGATCTGAGCTCAGTCTGGACCTGGGCTGAGGCGGTGTAGGTGCAGGTGCTGTTTTAATCCTTGTGGCTTTAAACAGAAGGTCAACGTTGGTGCAGATAGTGATGAAAATAGGAACATTTGATATAAAAGTTCTTTTTATTAAGATGAATATTTTGTTATTGATAAAAAATGTGTTTCGGTGAAGTCTACATACATTTGCGGTAATGTTTTGATATCTTTTTTTTTAGCTTTTTGCTCCTGGTGTGAAACAAAGCCATGTGATTTGCTCAAATGTACTCATATTTTGTATTTTAAAAGGTTTAACAAATCATTTCAGTGCATTTTTAAGAATGTTCACACTATATTTTATTTTTCTATCACATTTTTTTTATAGCAACACTTTGAACCAGAATTTAAAAGAAATTTTTATTATTTTTTTTCCTGAGTCAAATGATCGAACCAAACGCACTTTTTATTTCAGTTTGTGTTTTACTTTTGATTTTATTTCACATTGACTTGTAAGAACATCTTAAATGATTGTAAATGTTGTTTTGTTGAAATGAAATGGCTGGTTTTAGTTTTTTCTGTGGCGCATTTTTAAAGACCTGGATACATACATGTTAAACCTATGTTAAATACTGAATATTCTGTTTCTTCTTAGTTTAGGTTTTGGTAAAGAAGATTGACGTGTGCCTTGCAGCATATGAAACAGTTATTTCAGTCACGTCACTGCAGCTGAAACATGTCAAACCTCACTCACTTCACTCACTTCACCCTGACGGCGTACCTGGACCTGGGCATGTTCAGATACCTGGTGTTCTTGGTGCTGCTGGTGCTCTACGTGCTGACTTTAACCTCTAACCTGCTGCTCATATCGGTGATCATTCTGAACCGTACTTTGGCCGAGCCCATGTACTTGTTCCTGTGCAGTCTTTTCCTGAGCGAACTGTACGGCTCCACCATGTTGTTTCCGATGCTCCTCCGCCACGTGCTGCAGCAGCTCCACCAGATCTCGGTTTCCTTCTGTTTTCTCCAGATCTACTGCCTTCATTCCTACGCCACAACTGAATACCTCAATCTTGCAGTTTTGTCATACGACCGATACATTGCAATCTGCTTCCCCCTGCAGTATCACAGTCACATGAGCAGGGACCGAATTATGAAACTGATTATCTCCACATGGCTTTACGGCTTTTTGATTGTTTTGACCACTGAAGGCATCACTATAACTCTTAAGCTGTGTGATAATAAAATTCCGAAAGTGTACTGTGATAATTACTCTGTTGTACGAATGGCCTGTTCTGATGTTTCCTTGGTAAACATCCACGGATTAATTGTTACCTTCGTCACAATCGTCATCCCCTTTTTCTCTATATGATGTTCACTTACCTGTGCATCCTCAGAGTGTGTTTCTCTGGGTCCAAGTCTGTGCGGCAGAAAGGCTCTGAGCACCTGTCTGCCTCACCTGGTCACCCTTACCAACTTCACCATTGGGGGCAGCTTTGAGCTGGTGCAGAGCCGGTTCAACATGAATGGTGTGCCCATGGCCTTGAGGGTGTTCCTGTCCCTGTACTGCATCTCCAGCCAGCCCCTGATCAGTCCTCTCATCTACGGATTCAAAATCTCTAAACTTCGATCATTATGCAAAGGGCTGCTGATCGCACGGCTGCACCGCAGGTAAAAATATACACAGTACAAAGGCAACGTAGGTTCATGTGTGATTGCCTAATAACCAGAAGCTTAGTGGTTCAAAACCAACTGGTGATGAGCCCCAGAGCAAGACACTTTATCCACCTTGCATAACTATGAATGCTCTGTGTCATCACACAATGACAATACACTCTGGGATGAGCAGAGAACCTCTGACTTTGGATCCAGTGAGAAACTCCCTGAAGAATGAATAATACAACACAAAATTTTAATTTTTAGATTTATTTTAGGTATAAACAAATGCTGTCAAAATCCAATTCATTATTATTGCACAATAAAAAAGCTACGATAAGAAAGTGGTACTGTCATCTCTGTCGTCCGGAGCTCCGGAAATCACAAAATCAAGTAGTAAACAAAACATTCTAGTGACCGGTATAAAATTTGAATTCCATGAAAATGAAATGAAAGACGACCACCTCAAACTTCATCACACTTCAAATTTGTCCAAAATCACTAAAGCCATGTGCAAGTAAAGATGACCAATTAGATTTTGAATATAACTTTAAGAGTGTTCATGGTGAAGAACAAACTTCATATCGTATCTAACAACACGGCTCTCTAGTACCTCGTGAAAATGTAATTAAAAACGTTGGAAGCCTGAACATTAACTTTAATTATTCGAGATTTTTGTAAAATGTCAAATGTGGGTGAGGCAATCCCACAAACCAGAGGTGAATCTGAAAAGAATGAACTCTCTCAAATCTCTCACATGCAATGACAAACTGCATCAGACCCAATGGAACATTCTGGCACATTAACGACCTGAAGTCAGTCATATACAATATACTGTACATAGCTGTGACATAAAACTGCTCTACAGCGCCCCCTTGAAAATTTTAATGGTGCCAAAAAATTTATTTTGTCGTAGACAATAAAAATTTGACACAGAAATCCTTCTGACAATAATGAAGAAAAAAGCCAATGACAACACACCTGCGATCTGCAAACATGTTTCCATGGCAACATTTGTCAAAGAAATTCATTAGACTAAATCAGTGCTGGGCAACATTTTCTGTGCTCTGCGGCCACATAGGTGCGTCCTAAAATTTTGAAGGGCCAGACAAGTAACACACATGCTGTCAACATGACGTGGTGAAGTGCTACATGCTTTGCATATTTATATTTTCGTTTACTCCGTCTCTATCTGTAAGCGCACTACAACTCATCGTGCTGCAAAAAATCTCAGAACACACAAAACTCCTACACCACCGAACGAATGCTCCCTGCGCACACTCTGCCAATGAGAGCACTTACAGTGGAAGTGCAATTGCACTTTATTCTAAAGGCCCGTTCAGACCAAAGTCAACGCGTCCACTTTTACTATGTAAACTAGAACGTCCTGCATTTTTTTTTCGCGTCAGCGAAAGTCAGCTCGGCGTCTCAAGCGGCCAAGACGTCGTTCCAAGGCGTCAGCGTCAAGAAGTTGAAAATGCTGCAACTTTTCGCGTCATACGCGCCGCGTCAACCAATCAGGGACGAGTATCCAGAGACGCAGCGACGTTATTATCAGGAACGAGAACTAAATATATACGCCACAATCATCAGAAATAGGACCGGACCAGGACAGGACTAGACCGAGGACTAGACCGACTAGACCTATATAGACCGTAGACCGGACTAGAACCACCACTAGACCGGTATTATGATCATTAGAGTATAAATATATATACAGTCCAGGTTGATTATGTTATCTGTCTGTCTGACATTGTTTCGGGAAAAGACCGGGACCGGGCTCTTGTTTCCAGGGCAACGGACGCACGTCAAGTATTTTTGTCGACGAAAGACACGCGTCGGGGGCGTCTAAACTCAAATGCAAAGGCTCCAAATAGAGGCGACATGGCGTACGCTTTGGTGTGACGGCCCTTCAGACAGTGCCCCTAGTTTGCCCACCCCTATTTGAGAAGCACTGGACTAAATGGATGAAAAGAAAAATTTGTCATCGACAATTGAAACTTAGTACACATTGGGTTTAGATTTGTAACTTAAAAAAAAAAATACAACTAAATTGCAGAAACTGTCAGGTGCATCATTGTACAGGCCTCTTCTTCTCATTTGCATCTAAAAGAAACAATGACCCAAATGAGCCTCTCGGGGGAATCATCAGTCTGAAGAACTATAAATAATGAACCACAGCTCCCGACGCACAGATCCTGAAGTCAGTCTTTGTTTAACTGAACCATGTCTACATTCTTTTCATTATAACTATTCACTATTACTAAAGCTGCTCTTTTTTCTCTGATTTTTGAATTTTGTGAAGGCTCGTCTCGTTGGCTCTGCTTTTTTAGTTTGTGCATTATGAACAGTAATATGACGTTGTTTTCATGGGACACTTTATGGGACTTTTGAATAAGCCTTGTTTTTCTGTTAGTCTGCAGATGTGCTGAATGTAAAGATGTGTTTGTCACTGAGTCAAATGATTAGAGTGACTGTAGTTTAAATGACCACTTATTGTATCATATTCAAATATCACATTTCTGTAAATGGTTGTAATCTTGTGGACATAAGATTGATCAAGGACATGGAGCCAGCTGAAGAGAAATGGGTTTGATTTCTGGAATGATCCATTTCCATATCCAATACATTCAGTGGGATTGTGTGACTTATTGTGGTGATCAAGTTTTGTTTTGTTTTTAATTTGAAAAACATTACAGTTTTCATTAATTTACCAAATAATTGTGAGAGGTCATTGCTTAAGTGGAAAGAGCTGAGCTTTTGTTGTTGTTAAGATTTGATAGAATGGAATATGGAGTATATTTAAGTGAATGTTAATCAAAGATTCGGTCGTTTCAAGCCTCTATGTGGGTTTGGAGAAGAGTTCAGACTTTGGGCAACATAATTTGACTATTTTTTGTATTTAAAGTCTGTAAAGTTTATGTACAAGAGATAAATATTGAAATACATTTTTTATTATTTTCAAGACAAAATCAAACCAATCAAGCAATATAAGGAAAAAAAAAATCCCCATTACTATTTCCAAACTTCTCTTGTTTTGTAGAGTAATAATTCAGATGTTTGTGCATTTTTTTTTCAAATGTTGTATCCATTTATTCCTCAAAACATAGACTTAGTAGTCATTTAGTGAACTGGAACAAGCACCAGCTTTGATAAACACCACTTTATTTATTTTGAGGTTTTCAAAGTTAGTGGGGGCATTTTATAGAGGTTAAAATGTTCTGTGGCTTTGACTAAAACCGTGACAAATGACGAGCTTTCTTTTTATCACAGGAGAGAGTGCTGGTGAATGTTAAAGTGACATTTATCTCTCTGTCTACTGCCTCTTTATTTGCTTTGTCTTAAAACATGTCAAACCTCACTCACTTCACTCACTTCACCCTGACGGCGTACCTGGACCTGGGCATGTTCAGATACCTGGTGTTCTTGGTGCTGCTGGTGCTCTACGTGCTGACTTTAACCTCTAACCTGCTGCTCATATCGGTGATCATTCTGAACCGTACTTTGGCCGAGCCCATGTACTTGTTCCTGTGCAGTCTTTTCCTGAGCGAACTGTACGGCTCCACCATGTTGTTTCCGATGCTCCTCCGCCACGTGCTGCAGCAGCTCCACCAGATCTCGGTTTCCTTCTGTTTTCTCCAGATCTACTGCCTTCATTCCTACGCCACGACTGAATACCTCAATCTTGCAGTTTTAGCATACGACCGATACATTGCAATCTGCTTCCCCCTGCAGTATCACAGTCACATGAGCAGGGACCGAATTATGAAACTGATTATGTCCACATGGCTTTATGGTTTACTGGGCGTTGTTCAGACTTTATGCATCACTACGTCTCTAAAGCTGTGTAATAATGTCATTTCTAAAGTGTACTGTGATAATTACTCTGTTGTACGACTGGCCTGTTCTGATGTTTCCATTATAAATATCCATGGATTAACCTGGACATTTGTCACGATCGTTACCCCATTCATCTTCACAATGTACACTTACCTGTGCATCCTCAGAGTGTGTTTCTCTGGGTCCAAGTCTGTGCGGCAGAAGGCTCTGAGCACCTGTCTGCCTCACCTGGTCACCCTTACCAACTTCACCATTGGGGGCAGCTTTGAGCTGGTGCAGAGCCGGTTCAACATGAATGGTGTGCCCGTGGCCTTGAGGGTGTTCCTGTCCCTGTACTGCATCTCCAGCCAGCCCCTGATCAGCCCTCTCATCTATGGATTCAAAATCTCTAAACTTCGATCATTATGCAAAGGGCTGCTGATCGCACGGCTGCACGGGATAGACCAATAATTTCCACACAAAAAAACTCACATCATAATTGTAGTCAGTGAATGTGTCCTGATTTGAGTATTATACATACAGGAAATGTCTCTCACATCTTCGTTGATGTAAAGGCTTAAGAGAAGGTTTCTGATGGCACTGTGAGGTTCTGTGGATGAACGACTATTGGTGTGTGATGATTAAATTAGATGCTCTCCATGTATGTCATGGATATGTCTATAGATTATTCCTTAATAAAGTTTGAATAAGAGACTGTCTCATTAATAAAGTTTTAATTAAAAAGTACTGTGTTTCCAGTCAGGAGTGTCAGTCTTAAGGACTAAAACCTACAATATCAGAATAGCCAAAGCCAAATGAAAGCGAAGGCTAATTCTATCAGCGATTAATCCTATAGAGGCTTTGCACCGTCACGTGACCCTATAGCAACGGTACTACGCCGCCATGACACCGGGCACACTATGTCATTGACTTCAGCAGCATCGGAGAAACATGGGCAGGTTTTGTTGTGTATTTGGTTGTTCTAGACGCTCTGAAAGGGATAAAACTAAAATGTCATTTATTTATCCAGGAAAACTTGCACTAGTTTATGATTCAATGAACCCACACTGGGCTCCTGTGATCAACATGGTGCACGAGTCGAAGAGTCTGTGAGCCGAACCTCGAAAGAATCGGCCATGAAAAGATCCTCGCGAACGTTAGAAAGATCCTGCTGCAAAAAGAGATTAATTCTAGAAGACATAGTTGTGGATAAGCGAGACAATAAAGAAAACATGGGTCCTACGACGAGTGACATGTTTATATGTGCTGGAAGATACAGTTTCTACTGCCACTCACACTGCAAATGTTTTCTTTTTACATTTTAGTTCAGTAAATGTGCTTCTCTCATTAAATAAACTATGAAACTATTTAAATAGCAAATACCTTGATGAAAGTGACGTGAGTGTGTCTTGATGGGACCATAGGAAATCTCTTTGCGGTTTATGTTCTCTAGCCATAATTCCCGTCTTTTTTTTCAGTAATTTCCTTGTTTGATCCTGATAAGTCATTTCCAGAGGAACAGTGAAGAAACGAATCGTTTTATCCCGTTCAGAGCGTCTAGAACAACCAAATACACAACAAAACCTGCCCATGTTTCTCCGATGCTGCTGAAGTCAATGACATAGCGTGCCCGGTGTCATGGCGGCGTAGGTACCGTCGCAAAGCCTCTATAGGTGGAGGAGATGCATGTTTTGGGTCGGTGAGGAGCTAGGTCATATGGACATGAGATCAGACATTAGGCCATCTCTGAAAAACTTCAGTCTTCAGTTCAGTCAGTTTATAGCAGAGGTACTCATTTGGCGGACTCCGATCCAAACCCAAACGCAGTGACATCTGGATGGAGACAAAAATCTCTCTCTCTAGCCTTTTTTTCAAAGCATTCTGGATCCATGCGATATTTGATTGGCATGTGCTTTTTGGATAAAAAAAAAACAGCATAATGAAAAAGAAAAAAACATATATAAGACATACTAGACTATAAGTTGCACTTTTGGAGATAAATGTATTTTATAAAATCATTCTATAAAATCAGAGACACACATTTCATCTTGAAAGGCAAGTTACTGAAGCAGATATTCAGATAACCATAGCATAAACAACAGAACAGAACAAGTTTACCTAAATCCATTGAATTCTTCATACTTGGTGTCACTTCTGAGCAACTCGGCCACGACGTCCGGAGGTAAAAGGAGCGCCACTTCCTCTTCTGTGTCGCTGTCATCAGACTCAGCATCAGTTCCAATTAGAATGGTTCCAGCCTTTCTGAATCCCGACAGGATGATTTTGGTCATTGAAGTCCAGGCTTTGTCCAATGACTTCCAGGAAAGTTACATGGTGCACCCTCCCGGTTGCCGTGAAGCTGTGTTCTCCATGCCCGCCTTTCACCAGTCTCTCACAAGTTTCTAGCTCACTCCAAATTTTCTTTCTGCTGTTTCATTACCATTTTAAATGTTCAGTGTCCCAGCCCAGCATGTCCTGGGTCTTTCTTGGGGTCTCCTCTTGGTGGAACATGACCGGAGGCATCCAGAACAGAAGCCCGAGCCACCTCAGCTGACTTCTCTCAACGTGGAGGAGCAGTGGCTTTACTCCAGGTTCTTAAAAAGAGTCTGACCTCGTCTGTCAGGGACCACCAGCCGCCGCTTGGAATAAAATCACCACTTATGTCTGCAATTGTTTTGCAATGACCAAAAGATCATGAGTGTTTAGCTCAAAATTTGGAGATGGTTAGCCTCAGGTGACCCCAGAGGCAGAGGGATTAAAAAAGTAAACATTACTGATTCCTGTCAGTTGTCTCAGGAGTCACTAAGGCCTGATAAGGTCTCCTTTATATTAGCACTGTTTCAGAAATCCTTTGCACTCGTGGTAGTACATAGAAAGTCAAATACATGTGAAAAGTTTGAGAATTTGAGAACCTCTAGAGGGAGCTGAGAGCCGGTGAAGGCATAAAAGCCCCTTCTCCAGAGTCAGGGCTCAGTGCTGGAGGGCAGGACCGATCACAGCGGTTCTCTATGGACCTGACAGGCCTCCCCACATCTCCTCTGTGAGCCCTCAGCACAATGAACACAAACTCCTCTCACGTGGCATTTTTCTTCCTCACTGCCTACTTCCACCTGGGGCCACTGCGTTACATCGTCTTTGTTGTCCTTTTGATTTTGTATGTCTTGATGCTTTTCTCCAACGCCCTGATCTTGGCCATCATCTGTCAGAATCGAAGTCTTCATGAGCCCATGTATATTTTTGTGTGCAGTCTGTTTGGTAATGGTATCTTTGGTAGCTCCATCATTTTCCCTTTGCTTTTATACCAAATCCTCCAAGATGTACACATTGTTCCAAGTGAATTCTGCTATTTCCAGACCTTTGCCATATATGTGTACGGGACTGTTGAATACTTCACTTTATCAGTGATGTCATATGATCCTTATTTGGCCATTTGTGCACCGCTACATTACAGCTCACGGATGACCAGAAACAAAACCGCTGTGATGGTGGTGATGCCGTGGTTGTATGGTTGTTTCATTTGCCTTGTTATGATCATGTTAAGTTCATCTCTGCGTCTGTGTGGAAATGTCATCCATAAGGTTTACTGTGACAACTTTCCCATTGTAAGACTGGCCTGTTCTGACACATCCACATTAAATGCTTATGGACTGGTCATCAGCATCGTGAACATATTCTCCCCTCTGCTGCTCATCCTGATCACGTACCTGCTCATTTTCCGTGTGTGTTTCTTTGGAAATGCTCAAACGCGCCGCAAGGCCCTGAGCACGTGCATGCCTCATGTCATATCTCTGATGAACTTTGGCCTTGGTACAGCATGTGAGATAATCCAAAACAGGTTTAACATGAGTCATGTGCCTGAATCTGTGCGCATTTTTGTGTCTCTTTATTTCTGGCTGTTCCAGCCAATTTTAGACCCCTTTGTGTACGGACTCAGTATTTCCAAGATCAGAGTCCTCTGCAAAAGCCTGTTTGTCTCTAAGCTAGGACACTTGAAGTTAAATAATAATAGAAGACTTATGTTTTTCCATAGTAACTAGGCTTTTTCTGGGTTGAGACTCTCACTTCTCACCTTTATGAAAGCTGTCAATGCCCTGTCAGTCGAACACGGCCAGTTTGATTTCACAAAATATGCTATGTGTTCTATGGCATTGTTTTTCAAAGACTGGGTCGTGACCCTCAGGTGGGTCGCTAGAGATTTTTTTTAGATCGCCTTGTCATGATCTGCAATAAATTATCCTCATTAATGTTCAGTAATGGTCAAATCCACCTTTATTTTGTGATTTACGAATAATGTTTATTGATTTGGGTCTGTGACTTTTAAAATATGCATCCCTAGAAAAAAAGTTTGGGAAACACTGTTCTATGGGACAATTCTTTCAGGGCTGGAGCTCCCAGGAGCTGCAGTACCAATCGACATCACTCACGGACAGAGAGGAAGTGTCTTATCTGTGAGCTCTCAGCACAGTGAACCCAAACTCTTCTCACGTGGCATTTTTCTTCCTCACTGCCTACTTCTACCTGGGACCACTATGCTGCCTCGATTTTACTGTCCTTTTGTATGTTTTGATGCTTTTCTCCAATGCGCTTTCTTTATTTCTGGCTGTTTCAGCCAATTTTAGACCCCTTTGTGTACGGACTCAGTATTTCCAAGATCAGAGTCTGATGCAAAAGCCTGTTTGTCTCTAAGCTAGGATACTTTAATGAAATTAAACAATAATAGAAAACATTTTTTTTTCTCAATTAACGAGTAACTAGGCTTTTTCTGGGTTGAGACTCCCACTTCTCACACAAGATAGACTGTGACCTTTTCTATTCATGCAGAAAAGTGTATCTGAATGGTTAACCGCCATATAAACCATGTAAGCATTTGGCATAGACCAAAGTCTATGATATTCTATTGTTTCACCTGTTATACTCTTTACATTTTGTTAGCCTTTGGTTTTATCATTAGTATTTTTTTTTAAGTGAATTTACCTGAATCTAACTCATAAAGTCTTGGTGGGAAGTAACCAACATCTCAGGTGTCTGGAATAGAGTATTGCTCAGATCTGTCAGGAAAACTTTTGACTGTGAAGGCAAATTCATTTTCAAAGACTAAACTAAAACTAGGCTAAACTAGATTAATAGTTTAATGTAAAATACATTAAAAATGATATATGATATATGAGGACTTCACTGTGCAGGTTCTTTATGCATTGCACATAGCAGTGAAAATGGTCCAAAAGTGCATTGGGAGCTGATGTGATGAGTTTTCAGCAGATAAAGGATTTATTTGGTCTCAGTAATCAGGATTTTCACAGATATCACAGTTGTTTATGATTATTTAAGGTAGAAAAGGAATAGCCGGCCTGGTGCCACCTAGTGCCTCCGCTCAATTTCATTTCTCTCCAGCGATTAGTTCAGGAATCAGAATACACTAGACGGTTTGCAAGAACCCCGGAAGTTGCAGACTGTGCACCGGCCAATCACCTGTGAGCTGTGAAGCCATGACATCAAACTCGTTGCGCCTGTCTGGGTCCCTTTTGTGGTTCAGTACAACAGTAAACAAAGCGTTGAGATGGATGTAGACGAAGACAGACATTCTGTGTTGGCAACGATTCTCCAGATCCAGGATTTAAAGCTGGAACAAAGAGAATGTTTGGTGAATTTTATCAAGGGAAAAAAACGTTATTGCCCTTCTTCCTACAGGATTTGGCGCATTACATACGTCACAACCAAATAGCAGTGATTGGTTAAATAAAAATGTACCCATCTACAGTCAAGTGAACAAATCCTAATGCTAGGTGTTTATAAATCTGATTGCTGACTGCTGCCCCCCCTTCAGCATTCTATGTCTTCAGAACCAGTTTCCCTGTCTGGAGATCCAGTCGTCAAGGTCCCTTTGACTGCTGCCCAGATCTCTGAAGACAAATTTCCCTAGGCAAGGCAAGGTAACTTTATTTGTATAGCACAATTTGTACACAAAGTAATTCAAAGTGTTTAACAAGATAAGAAATTCATTAAAATCACAATAAAAACAAATCAAAACATAAGTAATCATCATAAATTGAAGATTTTAATTAAAAAAGAGAGAGACATTGATTATCTAAATTAGAGAAAAGAGTGCAGAATGAAAACCTTTCAGTCATATGCAGTGAAACAGAACCATTTTGAGTTTAGTCGTGACTCTGGGCACCAGCAGGAGGCCGGTCCCTGAGCTCCTCAGAGTGTGAGATGGTTCATATGACACTAACATGTCACAGATGGACTTTGGTGCTCGGCCATGGAGACACTTGTACACAAGCAGAGCTGCTTTAAAGTCTATTCTCTGAGCACAGGACTTATGTGCTCGTACTTCCTAGTTCGAGTCAGGACCCGAGCTGCAGTGTCTCACAGCTCGTTTGAAGAGACCAGTGAGCAGAACATTACAGTATCTAACATACTAGAGACAAACGCATGGATAAGTTTCTCCAAGTCTGCTTTAGACAGTAAACCTTTGATTTTTGCTATGTTTTTTAGATGGTAGAAGTCTGCAGATGTTATTGATTTGATGTGGCTGTTAAAGTTCAAGTCTGAGTCCATTATTACCCCGAGATTTCTTGCCTGATTTGAAGGTTTTAGAGAGAGAGACTGGAGGTGACTGCTGACACTGTCCCTTTGTTTCTGTGGACCAAACACTATGAATTGCGTCTTGTCTGAGTTTAGCTGGAGAAAGTTGTTTTGCATCCACACACTGATCTGTTGGATGCAGTGGCAAAGTGAGTCCACTGGTCCATAGTCTCCTGCTGCAGTGAGACATAGATCTGAGTGTCGTCTGCAGAGTTGTGGTAGGACACATTATTGCTGTGTCGGCCTAATGGCAGCATGTAGAGATTGAACAACAGGGGGCCCAGGATTAACCCCTGAGGCACCCCACAGGTCAGGGCCATGTCATCTGAGACACAGTTTCCAATTTCAACAAAATACTTCCTGTCTTCTAGATAGGACTTGAACCAGTCTAGTGCAGTACCAGAGATGCCCCCCCCCCCCCCCCCCCCCGAACAGCTAGAGCCGACAACAAGAATGTGGGTGAATAATTATTATTATTTTTTATTTCCTTAGAGGAGAACTCAAATATACATTGAGTTATAAAGTGTTTAATGCAGCTTTGTGCACATTTGTTTACATTTTACAGAAACAAAACTTAAAACCACATGACTCATTTGCATAAACTATAAGCTTTGATAAAACTGCCCGCTCCTTGTGTGCTGATGGGGTCAGCTTCTGTCGGACTAAAAGACACGACTCAGTGGAATATTTGTGTTCTTTCTGTGACAGGACGTGAGGATGTGAGAATGAGCATGTTCTGCTGATGGTGAGTCTGTTCATCGTGTCTGTCGTGTTGGAGATGGTTCATGTGAAACTTTTCACAGATGATAAATCTGCAGGTCATATGCAAAGACCGTATACATGAATGGACATATATTCTCTGCAGCATCATACTGATGTCAAAAACGTCGACACAGAACTACATAACTCACTCCGCGATGCTCCAGACTAGCCGTAAATGCTCCAACAATCCATCAAGTGTTGTGGCTTACCAGTGTCGTACTAAAACATTTTGACAGATTTTTGAGATATTAAAGAATTTTAAGTGCGCCTTATAGTCCGAAAAATATGGTACAATGTCCTCACATGTAACTAGTTCATATGGTCCAATGTAAAATGTCTGCAGAATGCAAAAGAAAAGCTCTTTATATTCAATTAGAAGAGGGGTGGTATTGAATAAGTTTCTTCTTCCCACTCCTTTTAGGGCACATTTTTTGTTGTTGTTTTTGTTGTTTGATTGCACTTATGTCAATACTGATACTGTGTTCCATTGTAAAAAGAATGAAAAATGCTTACTTGCCCAAAATATGTACATAATAAACAAAATAATAATAATAAAAGTTTTGACATGTTTTTTTCTGATTGGTTTATCTGCTTGTCAAACACACACGTCTGAATGCAGAGACCTGAAAGGGTCCTAGACTGCAGGTCATTATTATCTCCATTAAAATGTTATTGCATCTCATTGTACAATACTGTTGGCTCCCTCACTTAAGCAGTTAAGTGAAAATGATCTCTATTTTACCCCTTAAGACACACAGAATAAAACAAAAGCAGTTTGTCAGTTCATCCTAAACATTATTTTATTTTAGTCAGTACATTTTTACAGACATTTCTCATTTTGGACAGTTTCAGACCGTACATGAGTGGGTTAAACAGTGGCTGACAGGTGAGGTGATACAATGGCAGCATTATTCTCACAATAGGTGGCCAGTGGCTCATATTGAATCTGGTTTGAATGACAAAGAATAAAGCTCCAAAAACCCCATTCAACAGTGAGCAGATATGAGGAGTACAGGTGCTCGCAGCCTTTAGACGTGTCTGTTTGGAACCATTAAAACACACTTTAAAAATGTGAATATATGTGGAAACGATTACACATATAGGAAGCGGTACAACGATACTAGTAGCCACAAGTTCATACAAGTTATTTACAGTTGTGTCAAAGCAGGACAGTTTCACAACGCTGTAATTATCACAAAGAACAGTGTCAATAACATCTCCACATAGAGTCAAAGACGATGTGAGTATAGTGGTAATTAAAACAGCCACAAATGGAGGCAGCCATATTAAAATAAACAGAAATGCTACTTTTCTATTGTTCATGCAAGTGTTGTACTGCAGAGGAAAGCAGATAGCAACATATCGGTCGTATGAAATCACTGACAAACTTGAGAACTCCACAGAACCGTAATAATAAATTGTGAAGATATGCGCAATACAAAAAGAATAAGAAACTTTGTGGACGTCTTGAGGGATCTGGGATAAGAGAAACGGATACAACGCAGTGCTGCCATAGAGTTCATTCACAAATAAACTACAAAGAAAAATGTACATAGGTTCATGTAGAGTTCTGTTCAAACATATGACGACAATGAGGAGCAGGTTGGAAAACACTATGAGAATATACACAGACAATATAATGACAAAATACAACCACTTCAGAGGCCCAGTGTCAAAGTAGGCTCCCAGGGTGAAATGGGAAACCTGACTGAAATTAACCATGATTCTCTTTCTGTTTCAAAATGTAATATTCACAACAACAATATTCATTGGCAAAATGTTTACCAGGGATAAACAGGTGCAGACAGAAGAGAGAATGTGGTAGAGCTATTTTAAAATCAATTATTATAGTTAAACCTCCTTTTATAACATCAACAAAATGATGAGTATTCTAATATCCAAGTGTTTGACTCGACTGATGTGTTAAAAAAGAAAAATATATTAATTCAAAAACACAAACAACTTATATTATTAGCAAATAAATTATATTACAAACAGATTTCTCACTGTCTGATTAGATTTTAGTTTAGTAAAAAAATTGAAGATGTGTTTAAAGTCTATTGCCAGATGTCAGAGGACGGAGGATCATGGAGAGTCAGACAAGTGGAGAGGGATCAACTAAACTGGACCTTTATCAAACTGTCTGTAGGCCCCTCCCAGTTCATACACTACAATAACATTTATCAAATGACGTATGGCACCAGTGGAAAAACTTCATGTCAACAGGATTGTCAGAAGTGTTTAACCAACATCCGAAATATTTGGTGAAATGTGAGGCCTTTCAATCATGTGTTGGTGCTCTTTTGAAAAGAG